AACCAGAAGGCTGACGGTTCAACCCCACCAGCCACTCCTCGGAAGGAAGATGGGGCAATCTACTTCTGTAGTGATACTGCCTTGGAAACCCAAGAAGGGGTCGCTATGAGTCGGGTCCGACTCGACGGCACATAACAACAACAACAACAACAATGTAGTATTGCATAATAGAAAAATAAATGGAAGCTGTGTGAGTGGCCATCCATTGGGGAACTAATTTAATAGTGGTCTATTCACACAATGACATATTATGGTGAGGAAGAAAAGGCCTTTATTTACTGATATACAACAATCTCTAAGATAGGTAAGAGAAAAACAAAATTGATGACTGTGTATTTTATGCTAGCATCTGTATAACATGGTGAAACCTATATGCCTGTTTAAAGGTGCTCTGGTGGCATAATGCTTGTGGTATTTCACTGCTAACCAGAAGGTTGGCAATTCAAACCCACTAGCCGGTCTACAGAAGGAAGGTGGGGCAATCTACTTTTGTAAATATTTACTGCCTTGGAAATCTAAAGGGGGTCACTATGAGTCAGAATTGACTCGATGGCACTGAGTTTGGTTTGAGTGATCTCTGTAAGAAAACCAAGAAATTGATATCAGTTGTCTGAAGTGAAGTGAGGGAACAACTGGGTGACTGGGGAACAGAGGTATGTATGGATTGAATTGTGTGCCTGAGAAGTGTCAAGTTGGCTAGGCCATGATTTTCAGTATCATGTAATTATCCTCATTTTGTGATCTGATGTAATTATCCTCAGTGTTGCACATGAGGCAGGATACAGTTACAGGATTACGTTGTATTTTGAGTCAGTCTATTTTGAGGTATAAAAGAGATTAAACAAGCAAAGATAACAGGGACCAAGTACCAGCAAAGAAATAGCCAGGAGCAGTTTGTGTCCTTTAGACCCAGGGTCCTTATGCTGAGAACCTCTTAAACCCAGGAGAAGATTGTTTCCAAGAAATACGGAGATCTCCAAGCCAACAGAGGTTGAAAGAAGACAAGTCCCTTCCTCTCGAGCCAAGAGAGAGAGAAAGCGAATCTGCTCTGTAAATCTTCACCCAAATCACAAAAAAAAAAAAAAAAAAAAAGCGAGAGAGAAAGCCTCTGAATTCTGACTTCTAGCAGCCTAAACTATGAGAAAACAAATTTGTTCATTAAAGCCATCCACTTCCGACATTTCTTTAATAGCAGTACTAAATAACTAAGAGTGGGAAGAAGACTTTTCACTGTATGTTTAGAATTGTAAACCATAACCTTATATATTTCAGTCAAAATAGGAAATTTAAAAAATAAGTACAATTAAATGGTCATACCCTCTGGAAATCCTATAGCAATGATTTTAAATTATGAAAATTCAGTATACAATAAAAACTTTCATTGCTGAGTTAATATTAATAGCTAAGCATCACTGCATTAAGTGGATTAACTGATTTATATGGGAAAACAGGTATTAATTTAGATAGTAAACAGTAGGGGAAGAAAGGCAATAATCTATGAATTAAATGTTAAAACGAAATCCAAGCTTGCTGCTATCGAGTAGATCTGGACTCACGGCAACCGCAGGTGCTTCACAGCAGAACTCTTCCATAGGGCTTCAACAGTAAACCTTACAGAAGCAGGGCACCAGGCCTTCTTCCATGGAGCTATGGGGTGGCTTCCAACTTCAACTGTTCAGTTACCAGTCAATTGGAAACTGCCTGTACCATGCAGTTAGGCAGCCATTTAAATATAGTTTATAGAAAGTCTGTAATTGAAGCAGCATATAGTATTATATAAAGTACCATTATCATATTTTTTTTCAGAGAAGAATGAAACAAAAGCTAAACAGAGGGAAAAAAGGCTAGAAGGCAAGAAACACTAAAATGACTATAGTTGAACAGTGAAAGCATGTAATTTAAATTTTTCCTTTCAATTTTATAAATGTATTTCAATCAGCATTTATGACTTCAATTTTAAAATGTGAACCTTTATTTTCAAACGTGCTTTCCACAATTGTGACCTCACACATCAATAGCAGTTTAGGTGCACTAATGGAAAACTACCTGTGAGTTTGGCAGTATAAAAGCAAGGGCTACACTTGGAGTGAGAAGATCTTTAAAAGTCAACTCTGGCATTAGCTGATTGACTCTGAGCAACCTAAATATCTTCTCTGTTTTCTTTACTCTGGAGTGTGGATAATAACACTTACCTTTTTTACCTGGTGATCTAGTTCCGAGAAAAAAAAAAAATCAGCTATTTAAAATATAACAGAGCACAGTTCTACTATGACAAACATAGGGTTGACATGAATTGGAAGTGAGTCCACCACAATTGTCTCTTTTTTCCTTATAAGGGTGCTTTCAGTATCCTATGATATCTTTGCTTCTTTGTAACTTAAAGAAGCCATTCTTTGCTGTAAAGAAACCCATCACCCATACACATGTCCCAAGACACTCTGTTCTCACCTTACTTTCACCTTCCGTTTAAAGGCAACTAGTTGTTGGCCAAGGGTCCCTGGATGATGCAAATGGTTAAGCACTTGACTACTAGCTGAAAGGCTGGTGGTATAAGCCTGAAGCACCTCAGGAGAGAGTCCTGGAAATCTACTTCAGAAAGGTTCAGAACCAAACCAAACCCACTAGCATGGAGTCAATCCTGACTCATAGCAACCCCTCCTTGGGTTTCTGAGGTGGTATCACTACAGAAGTAGATTGCCCAACCTTCCTTCTGAGGAGTGGCTGGTGGGTCACAGCCTTGAAAATCCTATAGAACAGATCTACTCTGCACATGTGGAGTTGCCATAAATCGGAGTCAACTTGACAGCAATTGTCAGTCAGTGGTGCCTCCTATGAGCACTTGAGAACTCAATGTCTTCTCCCCTCTTCTTCCTTTCAGAGTCTTCTTTTAGTGCTGTGCTCCTAGAAATCAAAACAAGTACAGCCATATCCTCCTTAACATGCTTGTATTCTCCCCCACCCCTTGACTAAAGGAACATCTGTCTACTCTCATGTGCTTCCTGCCCTCTTGCCACCTGGATCCCCACAAAAGTCCCTCCACAGGAGTTTTTATTTGGTTAGGGTCAGTGAGGCTTCCCTTTTCACAGAAAAGAGAAGCCTAGAGTTTGAAATGAAACAAGACCTAATGAAGGGGGGAATCACAATCTTAATAAAGCTTCTGAGAATATCCAGAAGTACCCTTAACAATGTCCACTCAAATCCCAACAAGACCTAATGAAGGGGGAATCACAATCTTAATAAAGCTTCTGAGAATATCCAGAAGTACACTTAACAATGTCCACTCAAATCCCAATGATTTCTTTTTTTCTGTGATTAAATCTGAATTTTCTTAAGGAAAAACTGGTCTTAAATTGTGTTCTGCTATTTAAATCTACACATTATAGTTTGGGCTTCTGTAGATAAAGTATGAAATCTTAGCTCAACTACAAGACTGTTCTTAAGAAAAAATACATTATGAGATTATGAGAACAAAAAAGCCTAACGCTAAAGTTTTCCTTAGTTCCAAGAGTCAGATGTTTTATAAAGTTTTGGAACCTCTGTAACTCAGAACCAAAAATTAGCAGCTAACTATCATATACAACTTATTTTATTCTCAAGATAACCCTAGGAAATATCCCTACTATTCCTTTTTTTAGCAATGGGGAAACTGAAGCTCAGAGAGGATTAAGTAATTTACATAATGCCACACAACCATTAAGTGGCAAGGGCACCAAATTCAGGACAGTGTAGCTTTGAGGCCTATTTTCTTAACTTTTTAGGTAGGATGCAATGTCTCTTGCTCAAAACCTTCACCTCAACTGATGACTACGAGTCTTAAACTCCCAGGAATTCATAGGCAATAAAAGTGGCATTTTCACAGAAGTCTTTCCACACTCCTTAGATCCTAAGTTTTAATCTCCAGCGTGAAGCTTCTGATGTCGAACAAGCGCTGAACTGTGCCTAAAGGATCTTCCACATTGGATACATTCATGAGGTTTCTCTCCAGTATGAATTCTGTAATGTTCACTAAGGTGTGCTTGCTTGCGGAAAGTTTTTTCACACTCACTACACTTATAATGTTTCTCTCCGGTGTGAGTTCTCTCATGTTCAATAAGGGAAGAGCTCTGACTGAAGGCTTTCCCACATTCAATACACGTATAGGGCTTCTCTCCTGAATGGATTCTCTGATGTTGTATAAGGCATGCACTCTGATTAAAGGCTTTCCCACACTCATTACACTTGTAAGGTTTATCTCCAGAGTGACTTCTCTGATGACGAGTAAGGCATATGCTCTGACTGAAGGCTTTGTCACATTCATTGCATTTATAGGGTTTCTCTCCAGTATGAATTCGCTGGTGCTTAATAAGGGATGGGCTCTGACAAAAGGCTTTTCCACATTCATTGCATTTATAGGGTTTCTCTCCAGTATGAATTCTCAGATGCTGGACAAGTATTGCTTTTGTTTGAAAGGCTTTCTCACATTCATTACATTTATAGGGTTTCTCTCCTGTATGAATCCTCAGATGCTGAGTAAGATTTGACCGTTTACGGAAACAAGTTCCACATTCACTGCATACATAGGGCTTCTCTCCTGTGTGAATCCTCTGATGCTGGGTAAGAGATGATCTCTGAGTAAAGAGTTTCCCACATTCACTGCATTTTGAAGTTTTCTTGTGCATGTTAAGTCTCTGGTGTTTCACTCGGCTGGAAGTCATGTTGTTTGTAGCCTACTGATGGGGCTTCACACTGAGAAGTTCAGATTCAGATGAAAGCTGCTGTCCAATTTATACTTACAAGGATTTTTCTCAAAAAATGATCATTAGAGCGACATTGTTCTTCTGGGAAGGGCTAGGGTGTGTGTGTGTGTGTTGTTCTCTCAATCATTCCTACAGGACTTTTCCTTCTTCCTTGTTCATTTTCAACTGCTCCAAGTGAAATGTCCAGAAGACTAGGCTCTCAAATTGTCTACTTCTTCCTCAGGTCACTGGACACCAGGCTTGGTCTTCCTGCCTAAAAAAGAAAATCACAAAGTAAGCCACTAATTACAGAAGATACTCAGTATATTATTGTTGTTGTTGTTGTTGTTATGTGCCGTCGAGTCAGCCCCGACTCATAGCAACCCCTCCTTGGGTTTCCGAGGCAGTATCACTACAGAAGTAGGATTGCTCAACCTTACTTCCGAGGAGTGGCTGGTCAGTATATTATTATATGGATTCTAAAATGTCCTGAACCAAATTTGACTCCCAGATTTAGGTTCTACTTCCAGCTCCACCACTAACTGTGTGTACCTGATTTTTTTTTTAATCCTTTGAGGCCTCAGTTTTTTCATGAATAAAATAATAATCCAGTCATTCAATAAATACTTGTTGAGTACCTATTATGTGTAAGGCACTGAGCTGGATGGAGAAAACAGATAAACAAACTCTCAGTGGGTATACCAGCCTTACAAAGTTGAGAAGATCAACTCAGATAATACATGTAAAATCCTATCATAAAGGGAAAGGGCTGCAGTAACACAAGAATTTGTTATTAGGACGTGACAATTACAGTAAAAGCCCAATTCAGTGCAACATGGTAATTCTTTACTCCAGGAAATTAATACTTTTGCTAAAATATCATTCTGTCTTCTGTGTATGGACATATCTGCATTTACAGTCATGCACTGCTTAATGTCTATGATATAGTCTGTGAGCTCTGGTAGCATAGTGGCTAAGACACTTGCCTGCTAACCAGACGGCTGGCGGTTCAAACCCACCAGCCACTCCTCGGAAGGAAGGTTGGGCAATCCTACTTCCGTAGTGATACTGCCTCGGAAACCCAAGGAGGGGTCGCTATGAGTCGGGGCCGACTCGACGGCACATAACAACAACAACAACATAGTCTGTGAACTAGGATGTTATATGATCTGAACATTGTGTAAACACCGTATCACAGTCTGGTGCTGCTTTTGCTTTAAGCATCTCAGACAAACTTCGTGCCTTAGTGGCAAATGTCAGTATGCTACAAGGGATTTGATTTTTGTTTGATTCTCAATTCACATCATTAGCATTCTCTCCATATTTGACATAGGTCTCTGTCACATTTTCAAAGCCTTGTAGCTTTCAGTGGAGCTGATCCTTTTTAGCAGCTTAGAAAATTTTTTGTTTTTGAGGATCATTGTGATTGTTAAGTGTGATATGCCATGTCAAGTGTGAAAATCAGAGAGCAATAGCATTTACTGATTTTCCATTTTCATGTTGTTTAATAAACTTCTGTTTCACTTCCAAAATGATACTTCTCCCTAGTCTCTTGCTGATACCACTAGCACTGGTTTTCCTGCATTTAGAAGCTACAATGCACTCACTTCACAGTAATATTTTTAAAAGAAAAACAGAGAAAGAAGGCTACAATACTCAAGATGCACGATACATGAGATTGGATGCTGCTGCCTGCAAGTTGAAGCATATACTGTTATACAGTAAACTTATTAAATAGAACTTTTTGGTACAGTACAATACATACATAAACCAGTAACACATAAGTTTATTATGATTATCAAGACACAGCTTATAAATGAACTGTACCATTATATATCTGGCAGCACTATCGCTTAGTATACAAGAGACATGAGATATATGTGTGTGTGCAGGAAGCTACTGTGTTCACTACATTCCGTTCTCTGATTAGGATTCTAAACTGTATTATAACCTTATGGGACCATGGACATATATGCAGTAGGATGCTGACTGAATATATTTTATGCAGCTCATTACTATAAATGGAAAATTTGCTCTGTACTGAAATTTTCAATTTCAAAATACCTTTAAGTATTATTATGTTATTAATTGAGAAAGATTTAACATACTGTTTAGTGAGTTAAGCTTTTTTTCAATACTTGTGTGTGGGGAAAAAAAAAAAACAACATCACAAAGGAAAGTGTGCCTTGTGCAGAACAGAGGACCTACATTACAGAATCTTGGCTCTTAGCCTGTTCCCCATAATAAAGAAATCCCAGCGAGCTGAGGAAGAGATTAGAATAGATGATAGGGAGGAAGGAAAAATCAGACAACAGGCAGAAAACAGAAGGGATTAGGTAGCAACAAGTCTTGTGAATTGTATAAAATTTCCTATTGTGATTGATTCTGAAACAATCAAATGGTGAAAATAATTTGGGGTCATCCAGATTTGCATCCAGAGTGATAAACAGTAGGAGAATGTGAATGAGATGAGTGTCTGACATTTGGGTACATTACATTTTGGGGAAAGTTACTGCCCATCTTTAGTCTCCACTCTTAAAAAAAGTAAGTGAAAAATAATCATATCTCCTTAGGTTCCCTGTAAGCAGGATCTTTGTAGACTAATGATAATTAAAAATAATTTCCCTTCCAAGATTTCAAAGGTGACGCGTGATCTAACTTTTGCTAGGTCCACTTCACATCCTGCCTTATTCACTCACCGGGATAGGTGTCTCTTTGGAATTCTCTTTCTCTCCAAAACATTCAGCATCTATCACTTTCCCCTTAAGTGTGACTGGGAAATCTCTAGGTTTGGAAACTAGAGTTCTGCATACTGGAGAAAAAAAAAGAGATCACTATAAGATTACAGACAAATGGGGGGGGGGGTGTTAAAGAAGTTCTCATAAGCCAGTGACTTGATTATAGCATCAGAATCTGATGTACACTGATCAGATCCAGAAGAGGAATGATGTAGAAAACACGAAGTCGGTTCACTAGTTTACAATGAAAAATGTCTATACTCAATGTCCACCTAGTAACACACTCCTCTCCACTATAGAAAAACTGTGGGAATCAAATCAATGTCATCAGGATACCCCTTGGAATGCACAGAATTTGAAAAAGAAAGAAATACTTGAATGATCTTAATGGTGTCAGACTCTGAAAACTCTGATGCCCTGGATAAGGGCACACAGAATCAGAGAACAGATATTCAGGTGCCACACATTGGAGCAATCTCTTCACTGGATGCTGCTGAGACCTGACAACATTCTTATTCCCAGGCACCTTTTCATTTTAGTTTTCTCATTACATAGATAACACATGAATATATCCTCACTATAAAAGACTTACATAAAACAGAAGTATGTAGAATAAAAGTTATTTTTATAGCCATCACCACCTTACCCATCCAAAACAAACTGTTTCCTGCCCCAGAGATAATCTTTATAAGTTTGGGGTATATTCTTTTACTCTTTTTTCTACATATTTTTCTATACACAGATAGAGGTTGATTCTTTTTTTTTTTTTTTTGCTTAACCACTGTGCCTCAGGGCTCCTTTCTTTAGAGGTTGATTCTTTTTACATAAATAAAGTCATTCTATAAGTATTGGTCTGCGATTTGCTTTCTGTTGGATTGAAGAATGTGTCTTAGAGATCATTTCATTTTGATATATATGGATCTATTGGGGCTGAGAATCAGCTGGCACACACTGGTTTGTCTGCACCAGCTGTTTATGGTGAGAGACTGATCTGACTGTGCAGTGCCTGTACCACACTGGTTATTAAGTAGAGTGAATATCTTACCTGGACCTGTCTGTCTGTCTTTATTGGCTATATAAACTTCCAGTATGGATATACCATTGTCTTAGTCTGTTAGTGCTGCTGTAACAGAATACTACAAGTAAGTGGTTTTAGAAAACAGACATTTATTTTCTCACAGTTCAGGAGGCTAAAAGTTCAAATTCAGAACACTTGCTCTAGAGAAAGGCTCGCTCTGTTGGCTCTAGGAGAAAGATCTCTTTTAGTTTCTTTAGATCCAGTGTTCATTGGTTCTTTGGTGATTTCCACAGGAATGTATCTTCTTGTACTTGCATGCCTAAGCTACTGCTCTTTTACTTCTCAAAAATTAGTAGTTTTAAGACAAAACCTACCCTGATATGGCCTAATTAGCATAATAAAGAAAATCTCTTCCCAAATGGGATTACATCCACTGGTACAGGAATTAGGATTTTAAAGAGACACAATTCAATTCATAACCATATACAAAAATAAACTCCAGGTGGTTTAAACTAGTATAAATAAAATCAAAATTCTAACCACATTTTTATCTTCTAAAATAAAGTTTTTATTTTTTCATTATACACAGGGTACATGGTATTCTTTATATACCTATTTAAAAAAAAAAAAAACTCACTGTCATCGAGTCGGATCTGACTCACGGTCAACCTCTCCTTGATTTTCCAAGGTGGTATCACTATGGAAGTAGATTGCCCAACCTTCCTTCCAAGGAATAGCTGGTGGGTTTGAACCACCAGCCTCTGGTTAGCAGTCAAATGCCTTAGGCACTACACTACCAGAGCTCCCTTATATACCTATACATGCTAGATATTCTCTGCATAAAATGTTCCATATAACACATCAGTTCAGAAAGGAAATCACTTGAAATCCTATCACCCAGAGAAAATATAGTTGATTCCTTTTTTAATAAACTTTGTCCCTTAATGCATATATACATATACAGACACAAATGTGTACATATGTACACATTAGACTAGACCAAATTCTTCAGGACATAAATAATCATGACCTATTCATAGAGTTCCTACAACCCGAGATCCAGTTCACCCAGTATTATTCTTACTGGGTTTCACAGCCATCCAGGCTTCTGATAGCCAATAACAGTGGCAGCTGTAATTACCTAGGCTCTTAGTCTAGATAGGCCAAAGAGCTGAGTCCACATTTCTGAGGAAACATTTAATTACCTTTGCAACGAGTCTTTTAGTAATTTAC